GCCTAGTTATGCATTTGACAGAAATGTGTCAATTATTCCAGTTAGATGAAAGGTTAAATACCTTTGAGTAAAATATTAATGGTCTAGCTGTGCATTTGACAGAAAGGTGTCAATTATGCTAGTAAGATGAAAGGTTAAATACTTTTGAGAAAAAGATTAATGGCCTAGTTGTGCATTTGACAGAAAGGTGTCAATTATGCCAGTTAGATGAAAGGTTAAATACCTTTGAGCAAAAGATTAATGGCCTAGTTGTGCATTTGACAGAAATGTGTCAATTATGCCATTTAGATGAAAGGTTAAATACCTTTGAGTAAAATATTAATGGCCTAGCTGTGCATTTGACAGAAATGTGTCAATTATTCCAGTTTGATGAAAGGTTAAGTACCTTTGAGTAAAAGATTAATGGCCTAGCTGTGCATTTGACAGAAATGTGTCAATTATGCCAGTTAAATGAAAGGTTAAATATCTTTGAGTAAAAGATTAATGGTCTAGCTGTGCATTTGATATAAAATTTTAATTATGCTAGTTAGATGAAAGGTTAAATGACTTTAGGTAAGAGACTAAATGCTTAACAGTGCAATTTGACATAAATGAAATGTATAACAATGCAGTAAGGGAATGAAAGGATGCCATTAATGAAATTAATGTATAATTACTAAGGAATAATGGGAAATGTAAAGAAAGATATGTATGTTGGACATACTAGGAATGTTTACGAATATAGTATGAAAGAAATTGAGTTTAAATAATAAGGACTTATATAATCCTTATAGATGATACGAAGAAGTTTCGAAACCAAATAAACATGATATACTTATGTATATAGAAATGTTTCTTTACAATGTTATGTCTCACTAAACAAGTATTTAACGTGTGTTGATTTCACGCATATGTAAAAACATAGATTAACCGAGTAAGGAGTGAAGTCGTAGCAGCAGTTATCATCAATTAAGGTTGACTCATCAATAACAATATGACAATCTTATTCATATTGAAAACTTATTTGGCATGTAATCGAATTCAAGTAAATATTTTGTAATGTATTTAAAGCGATAGTTCTGGTATTATGATTATATGAATATTATACTTTTGTGGTTTTAAAATTTAAACAAAATTTTACGGGTTTCCAAATAAGTATGTTTTAAAAGTGATGTGACATCTATATCTTGTGTACGGAAAGGTATACGGGAGATGAGTGTTACACAAAACATACCTCTCTTGAGTAAAACTAAGTTCATACACAAACTTCTTTATCCAAAGCATCTCCTTGTACACTTCGATCACTGCAATGAACTCTGATTTGATGGTGGACAAGGCAACACACTTTTTAATCTCGATTACCATGCTACAACTCCTCTTGCATAAGTGATCAAGTAACCTGAAGTATATCTCCTCAAGTCAATGTCTCCGGCCATATCTGAATCTGTATATCCAACAAGAACAAGTTTCTCATTACCGAAAAAAAGTTTTAAGTTGAAAGTGCCATGAAGATATCTCATAATCCACTTCACTGTATTCCAATACTCTCTACTTGGATTAGAAAGAAACCGACTAATTGTACCAACAATGTAAGCCAAGGCTGATCTTGTGCATACCATCACATACATCAAACTACCCATGAATAAAGAGTAAGGAACTTTCTACATCTCTTCCTTGTCTTTTTCTATAGAAGGACTATGCTTGACACTCAATCTAAAGTGCGTAACAAAGGGAGTGTTCACCGCTTCAGCTCTATCCATACTAAACCTTTGAAGTACTTTCTCAATGTATCTCTCCTATGATAACCACAATTTCTTGACTTTTATATCACGTGTCACACTTATGCCAAGAATTTGTTTTGTTGGCCCCAAATCCTTCGTCGCAAAGGATTTACTCAACTCTTGCTTCAATTTCTCAGTTCTAGTTAGAAATAAAGTGTTTGGGTTAACTTATTGTTTAGTGGAGTATTAGTTTCGAATTTGTTAGTATAATGTTGATAGTCATTCGGTTGTTACGATATGGGCTATAAAAACCAAATATTTCTAAATGGGTCGTACTCTAGTCTTTTGTAATCCATAATCAGTCATTTTCGTATTAATAAAAAAATCAGAGAATTTTTATCTCATTTTAATTTCTTTGTTTTGTTTGTTTCAAAACTTTAACCGCTAAATACAACCGTTAGTTACCCCACACCGGTCGTTCATCAACTTCGGTCACCATAGTTACTTTTTCACATTCTCAATCTCATGTTATGTCCTCGTTGCTCATTTCTATTGCACTTTAGATAGTTCAGATCGGATTGATTCAAGGATGAATTTTTACTTCAAAATAGATGAAGTTTTCAAATGTCAGATCAAATCATATAATCATCTACAATTTTCACGTCAAGATTAAAATAGTCAAAAGTCTAACCCAATTATCCTCTTTAACAGGAATGGATGCATCCAGTCATATTCATTATTTTAGATAAATTATTGATATAATTCAATGTATTAAGAGAAATAGAAATAAAAAAATGTATACAAATTTTATTAAAAAAAAGAGTATTGAAATTTTTTAATTTATTTTTAAATTTCTAGATCTACTATTTCATCGTCCCTAGTTAAAATGTAAAGTCTAGCAATAGTTAAAAAAATCTTCGAGGATCATAACCTTATAATATTTGTATATCGATATACCTTTTAAATAACGTATGTGATGTTGAAATTGTTAATTGGTCAATTGTTCAAGGAAAGAAAGAAATATAGATACTAATCGAGTAATTAATAGATTTTAAAGATGAAACTACACAATTGAAGAATGAAGAAATATGAGAATGAAATAAGTAAAAGATGATCGAGTAAAGATATGTGCTTGTTTAAAGAAGAAAAATTGTAGAGGAAGAAAGTAATAAAAAAAAACTAGTAGCATTTTCTATCGAGTGTCAGCACATCAAATGTTGTTGGAAACTTTTTTCTTTTAAAAGAATCAAAATAAAAAGAAAAGAAAAGCATAGTAAATGTTGGAAGAAATTAAGTAGAAGGGGTTTATTATTTTTTTTATAGATGATTATAGAGTATAGTATTTACTCTAAAATACTTTCTTAATCATTCGTGTTGCAATAGTTAACACTCTAACTCAAAATTTTTAAAAATAACAATCATTTCTTTAATCACTTAGGTAATTTGATTTCTGATATTATTTGATCTATTAAAAGGTTATTAGTGATTATTAGCTTGATCATTATAGGTGTGGTTATATTTATAACAAATTAGGATCCAATCCCTGATCCATTCGTTTATGATCCTTTAAGAAAAATGTTTAATATATTTTTTAGTGCCTAAATTATATTTTAAAATATGATTTGGTGTCTAATTTTTTGTTAACAGTAGGTGCCTAATATTTTTTCTGTTATACTTTTACGAGTCTAACGTTTTCTTCGTTACACTTTTAAGTGTCTAATGTTATATTTTTTATTTTTTAAAAGTTTTAATAAAAAATATTATTTTTGTAAAAAAGGGAAAAATATTAAAAAAAATCAAACCACCGCATCTTCTCTCTCCATCCTTTTACTCCATCGTCGACGACAAAAGGTTACCATCGGTTAGGTTTTGTTCAGAGCAAGATAAGGAACTCAACAATGCCGGCCATGTAATTTATGGACCGTTGTAGCCATCGAAAAACAACAACAGAAACCTAAAAATTCAATGATACTTTGTGACGTTTTTCACGGCGGTCGGCGTAGTTTCATGATGGGTGGGGGATTGGATTTTGGTTGCGGAGGCGAGACGGTTTTGATGGTGTCAATGATGACGACCACTGATCGACGATGGCCGATTGACGACGGAAGATGTAAAATTTAACATTTTTAAAATTTCGTTAATTATAATATTACTTTTTTCTATAATAAAATAATTTTTAAAATTTTATATGTGTGACATGTGTCATATAATGACCAAATTTAACGGTCGTTATGGTCACGATACCTAAAAGTGTAACATTGGAAGTGTTAATGTCTATTGTTAGCAAAAAATTAAATATAAACATCAAATCATATTTTAAGATATAGTTTAAACACTAAAAAATATATTAAGCTTAAGAAAAATATTATACTTTTATTTTTGAAAATTATACTTTATTCTTCATTTTGAAGCTTATATCCTTAACATAAACTACCACGACTACTCACCATCCATCTCTCACATCTCCACCCCCGCTGCCTGCGCCGCCAGTCCCCATTCTCATAGTCCTTAATTTTTGCATTAATTTTTTCCTCTATATTTTTTTGGCTGATCAAAGTAAGGATCAACTTGTATCGAGGAGTGCAGACCGAGTGGTATGGTGGCAATGGGAGGCTGTGTCGGCGGTGTTTAATGACAATTGGTGGAAGTTTGATCAAATTGATTAGTTTTTAGTTATAGATAGTAAAACTAATTAGTTTATTTAGAATTAAAACTAATTCAATTAATTATATAAATATTAAAAATTGAATATAATATTATATCGACTAAAATAAATGTTATAACATTATTTTGTTAATTGTTTATAGTAAAATATTGAGAAATAATTTTTTTTTAAATTAAATGATTTAAATATATAAACTTAAAGTTAAATAAATATTCTTATACTGTATCTTGTATTGTATTCGAATTATCTCTGGTAAGTTATATCTTTAAGAACAAGTTAATAAGTTAATAATTTGTCGTTATTGTAGTATAATGTATACATTAATTTTGTTGTTATGTACAAAATTAGTCATGTTTCAAGTTTCAAGTTTCAAGTTTCAATGATAATGCAGGGCCAATCAGAATGAGATTAAGGACTAAATTACTGGAGGATTACATTTACACAAAACAAATGGATAATATTTCTGTGACGTGGAAGCCACACAAGCCCATAACCAGAAACGTTCAGAACAAAGCCTCAAAACCCAGAAAAGGACATCCAGAAACGGTGTCGTGTGAAACGAGATCTCCATTTTTATCGCTTCTTTAATTTATTGATGAATAATCAATCAGTGATCCAGTTGGATGCTATGTCATAAAACCTAATCCACTCCAACATATCCCACCTGTCTTCCCTTTCCTTCGCACGTGTCACCTGCGAAACCCTAACGCCTCTCTCTCTCTCTCTCTCTCTCTCTTCCCCCCTTCTCTGAACTCACTATTTCCGCTCCACCTACGCACCCGACCACACCGGATTATTCTCCCCCATCTCTTTTTAAGATAACATTAACAACAACGACCTCGTCGTACTTCAAATTTCCGTACGGCGGTTGTTTGTTTCATCCTTAATTCTCAGCCGTCGGATAAGGGAAGTGGAAGTGGAAGAAGAAAGCAAAAACGAATATTTATCTCTCCCTCTCTCTCTCTCTCTTCATTATCTGTTTTTGTAAGTTTTCCGGTTAGACTTCCACCTCACTTCCTTCTTCAACCCCAGGGAAACAGGTCTTTCTTTTTTCCTTCTTATTTTGCTTTGGAATCTTTTTCTTAATTTTAGGTACTTATCTGACCTTTGTTTGTGTTATGGCTATTGAGCATCTGTGTGGGTTTAGGTTTGAAGACTAAGATTAGCTCTTGATATTTGGAGAAAAAAAGTAGTTATTTAGCAATTTATTGATAATTATGGTCTTTTTTCTCTAAAATGTCGGAAAGGAGATTCACTGATTCCAGATTTAATATGTCTACTTTTGGCCAGCCTTAGGTTTTTTATATAATTTATAGTGAAGAATAAGAGGACTAAAAGTTGACTGGCTTTAACTCTGGTCTATTTAAATCAGACACTGTAAATTTTGTTGTGGGGTTTTCCCCATCTATTATTTGTTAAGTTGGATCTTTTATGGCAGGACATTAGAGGGAATATTGTGTTTTGATTTGGGAAAGGTAATTAGGCGAATTGAAGAGTTACTTTCTATTTTAAGGTTGTTTGCGCCGCTTTGTTTTCCATATTAATAAAATCAATTACAATCCTGATGCTTTCACTTGTTTGAACAAGGATGAATGTTTTATATTTTAAGTTAGGTTTATGGAAGATCAAAATAACTGAAGATCTTGATATTAAATGAGTTTATTTCTAAATTTAGCTCTTTTGATGGTTATTAAGGTGTTCCGTGCTGGTATAGGATGTACAGTGTATACAATATTCTTGTGACGGTCTTGTCTGCAGATGGATCATTATCTTTCTATTTTGAAAATGTTTCATGATAATTTGCTGATACTGAAATTTGCATAGATTTATGTTCCATGAATCTTGTTTTGACTCGTATAACATAAAAACCTTGTGAATACTCTGAAGTGGTCACATTTTATCCGCTTCTGCATATCATGAATTCTGAGCTGTAGTTGCTTTTCCCCCTTATTAGCTTCATTGGTTGATATTTTTCTTGTTATCTTTTATTTCTGGAAGACAGGGTTACTTGTAATCAGCTTCTGGGGTGCTTCGTAAAGTTTGTTGAGGATTTACGGATTTCATTCTAATTGAGCTGAAATTCAGAGGTTTACCAAAGTAATTATGGGAACGGAAGAGGAGAGCTCACCTGCCAAGCCTTCTTCCAAACCTACTGTTTCAACACAGGTCTGTCATTGTTGCCACCATCCCACAAATTGGGAAGAACAAACAATTTACCCATTTCATTCTTCCCTTCTCATCACTAACTCATGGATGAGTTTTACTGACATTTTTTTTCTTTGTACTTATAGGAAATGCCTACAACACCTTCATATCCTGATTGGTCATGCCCGGTGCAGGTTTGTATACTTTAGTACATAAATCCTGGAGTTTTATTTAGTTCTTTTAACTGTTGCTCTTGTAAGTGATTATTCAATCTTACAATCCAACTTCTTGTTCAGGCTTATTATGGTGCTGGAGCTGCCCCACCTCCCTTCTTTGCTTCAACTGTTGCTTCGCCAACTCCACATCCATATATGTGGGGAGGCCAGGTGATACCGCTTTTGAAGTCTCCATTGTACACCAATGTGTTGTTTTCTTATATTTGATCAATGTTCTTACTTTCTTTCGATTTTGATGATCTTTTAGCATCCTTTAATGCCTCCATATGGCACCCCAGTTCCATACCCCACTATGTATCCTCCCGGGGGAGTCTATGCACACCCTCCCGGGGGAGTCTATGCACACCCTCCCGGGGGAGTCTATGCACACCCTCATATGGCCCAGGTAATATTCTCTCTCTCTCCCTCTCTCTCCCTCTCTCCCCCTCTCTCCCTCTCCCTCTCTCCCTCTCTCTCTCTCTCTCCTCCTCTCTCTCTCTCTCTTTTCCCTCTCTCCCTCTCTCCCCCTCTCTCTCTCCCTCTCCCTCTCTCTCTCCCTCTCCCCTCTCTCTCTCTCCCCTCCCCCTCTCTCCCTCTCCCTCTCCCTCCCCCTCCCCCCCCCTCTCTCCTCTCTCCCTCTCCCTCTCCCTCCCCCTCCCCCTCCCCCTCCCCCTCCCCCTCTCCCTCTCCCCCCCTCTCCCTCTCTCTCTCTCTCTCTCTCTCTCTCTCTCTTTTTGCCATTTGTATTCCTTTTGATTCACAGTTATAAAATAAATGCCCTTCCTCTTGGCAATTTTTTGTATAGGTCTCTCTCTCTCTCTCTCTCTCTCTCACTCTCTCTTTTTGCCATTTGTATTCCTTTTGATTCACAGTTATAAAATAAATGCCCTTCCTCTTGGCAATTTTTTGTATAGGGTCCAAGCGTTGCACAGAATAATACTGATCATGAAGGGAAAGATGCCAATGGGAAGGATCGAAGTGCCGCCAAAAAGTCGAAGGGAACTTCAGGAAGCAAAGCTGGAGAAAGTTCAAAGGGAGCTTCTGGCTCTGGAAACGATGGTGGCTCTCAAAGGTGCACTAGGCTTTTGATTCACTTTCATTCATAACATGGGTTTTGGATAAGAAGTTTATCCATTTTTTCTGCCATGCCTTTTCTAATTCTAAGCATTTTCTTAACAGCGGTGAAAGTTGTAGTGAGGGTACATCAGATGGAAGTGATGATAATAATAATCAAGTATGTGCACAGATATCATTATTAACTGTTTGCATGGACACCGAATGCTTTCGAAATTCAGTTTCCCTCGTCAACGTTGCTTATCGGCTAGCATGTTAATATGATGAATTGTGTTTTCTAACGAATATGTCTTTTTTTCCCCTTTAGGAACTTGCTACTGGTAAAAAGGGAAGCTTTAACCAGATGCTTGCAGATGGTATATTATGCTTATCGAGTTTCTGCTTTTATTTGTCGGAAAAAAAAGCTTCAGATTACTTTGAAATATGGTTTCAATTTATTGTTTTAAGTCGCAGAAACTTAATTTCTTGTGACTGGGAGTGAGGGACTAAGTTAATGAAAATTGAAAACCAAAATGAAAAAAACAAAAGTTGCCAAGTGTGTTTTTTCAGATGAACTTAGGGTTGATTTTTCTACCGTAATAATTTTCTACTTACAAATCACTCTTGTTACAGCTAATGCACAGAGTAACGACACCGGGGCCATAGTTCCTGGTAAACCAATAGTCCCAATGCCTGCAACCAACCTGAATATAGGGATGGACCTATGGAGTGGACCCTCTGCAGCCACAGGAGCTGCAAAAATGAGACCCAACTCGTCTGGTGCTGTAGCTGCAGTTCCTACCGGAGTTGTGATGCCTGAACAGTGGGTTCAAGTATGAGCTTTTTGCAGCTATTTTTGTTTCTTATTTTACATGTTCATATTACTATTTTCTCTGATTCCGGCCCAATATTCTGTCCCTGAGTTGTTAAAATTCACCTTAGTCCTTTAAGGTCTAACTTTTTTTTTTGCTACATTTTGCATCCTTTCAATCAGCTTGAACATTTTGGATATGACACAAGGTCTAATGATCTTCCAGGATGAACGTGAGTTGAAAAGACAGAAGAGGAAGCAATCTAATCGGGAGTCTGCTAGAAGATCAAGATTACGCAAGCAGGTACACTGGTTATGCCTGTTTGTCTACCAAATGGCTCTAGAACTTATCTCCTTAGTCGAAGCCTGACATCTATAGCTTGTATTGTGTGTTCCATAGGCCGAGTGCGAAGAGCTACAGGCCAGAGTGGAGAGCTTGGCGAACGAAAACCATAATCTGAGAGAGGAACTAAAGAAGCTTTCTGATGAATGTGAGAAACTTGCATCAGAAAATAGTTCTATTAAGGTATAGAACAGCTTGCGCTTGCTATTCTTCATTCGACGATAGTGTATTAATAATGTGTTGAGTTCACCTCTAGTTGCAAATTCTCGAGTGTGTTATTGATAAATATGTTTTGCTGCTTCTATAACAGGACGAGCTTGCACAGATATGTGGACCTGATGCGGTAACTAATCTCAAGCAAGGCGATGAAGGGAAGAGTTAATAGGAAACTACAAGGGGTAACAGGCAGCCAATGCAGCAGTTTCTTGGCATCCAGGAACATAATTTTCACCATGGATTCGGTTTAGTCACTAATTTATACCCTTAACCCGTTATAGCTGTAATGTCTATTTTTACAAACAGAAAAATGTTTTAACCAGATTTGAAATAGCTGTATTGTTTGTAGTTTATTGGGAGCGAAAGAATAATTGGGGATTGATTCAGAATATTTTCCCTTTTATTTGAAATAAAAGGTTAGATTTTTAGTTGCGTTTCTTTACTGAACCAAATCATACCTCAACTATTAAGATTTAGATAAGTATGTTGGATTGGTTTGGGTTTTCTTATCCTTGTTAAATTTAAAAAATTTTAGTAATATATGCTATTACAAGCATGGGTACTGTTCCCTTACACGAAAATCACTGTCCAAACAATATACACTCTTGGTTAGTATATATATATATATATATTATATAATCAGTGTAAATATATATTTACTATAATTGTTGGACGTAGTAGTAAGATATTTTATATTAAAGTTGAATTAAAAAAATGATTTATCAAAAGGCAAGGCAAAAAAGTGAAGAGAATTTACCCCTTGGATACATGAGTTTTTGGTACAAGCATTAAATTACAGGGAAATGGAACACCCAATTATTATACTGTTATATGATAAGAAGAAACTAGGTAAGCCTGATGGTACTCTCCATTCTCGCAGCTCTATTACCTGCCATAATTAATTTACTACAACTGAATTTTAATTACCCAAAATAGAAAAGCCATGAAATCCAGCTAGGCTAATTTCATATCAAACACCTCCATGCTGACATGGCAACCAAGGCGCTCTCGTACCAGCTAAGAACCAACTCAGCCTGTCGCTTAGTCACGTGGAATCCCCGAACTTGCACCCTCCCTAACAAACACTCTGCTTGAAACTCTGCCAACTGACTCAAATGCACCACCCTCATCCCCGCCCCACGAAACCTCTCCCTCCACGGAGGTGCCTTATTCCTCGCCGTCCTCCACGACCGCCAATATCCTCGGCCGCAACAACAACGTCTCAATCTTCCTCACCCATTCCTCGTTTGCCACTGTCGCATCCAATGACTCGAACATCATGGCATAGAACTCCAAACTGTAGACGAAATTCTTTCTAAACGACGTCGTCCCAGACTCCATCCACACCTCACTGTCTACAAATACGACGATGCTCGGGTTCACCCCCCGGAGATCACTCAAGAACGGTGTCACGTCTAAGCTGAGACATCAGAATATAGACAGAGACAAAAGGATCGCCGTTTTCTCTCCGTCTATGAACTTAAAAGCTTTAAATGACAACATTTTAAAGCTTCGAAGCAGAACGAACTCAATCTGGAACCTTAACTTAAGGTCTTGAGCGAACTGAACAAGGTTGTCTTTAATAAGCCCTGTCTCAATTGCATATTCCTCGGGAACCACCACAGTTATACGAATAAACTTGCAAGAGTGATCGTTTCTTTCGACCATTTCTCTCATCAAAGAAGCGTATTGGCTACCCAATCCGATGTCGAAATCAATTATGTGAATCAACGGTGCCGGTCCATCCAGGGATTCCAGGAGAGCTTGATTAGTCGTGAATTGGCTGAACATGGGCATAGGGTTGATCCCAGAGAAGGCCTTGTAGGCTTTGATGGTTTGAACGATTTCATTCCATGAAGACAGACGAGTCGAATGAGTTGGTCCGGAGAGCAGAGGCTGGAGAACTTCCCTGAAGTAAAAAACGGCTCTCTATAATGGCTTCTCGTACGGTGATCGTAGCCGTTGACTGAGCCGCGCCAATATCACCTACGCCAGTTGCAATTCGTGGGTGTCGAAACTGTTAAGATAGAAAATAATCAGTTAGTTTGTTAGAAGTTGGTTAGTAGGCTATTAGAGAATTAGTTAGGACCCGTTATTTTTAACTCTGGTATTATTGCTTGTAAAATGTACTATATATTGTAGTTCAACAGAGTAATAATATACGGGGCATTATTTTAACATGGTATCAGTTACCAGACTTTCTCCTATTGGGTTACTCTACTTGGCCCATTTCTAAACCAAGTAAGTGTGGTTCAGTTTCGTTTCCACACCAGCTCTCTTCTCTCTCGTCTTTCCCCAAATCAGTCTACTAGGGATTTTGTTCGACGATCTTCGTTCCCATGCCTCCAGCGAACGAATCATCTATTGTTGATTTCAATCATCCTCTCTTCTTGCATCCATCAGATACTCTAGGTACTCTGCTAATCTCTCATCAACTCGTTGGATTAGAGAACTACAATGTCTGGAGCAGATCGATGCGCATCACGCTGTTAGCGAAGAACAAACTCAGCTTCGTGATGGTACTTGCCAGAATGAGCACTATGATCTTGATTTACATCCTTAGTGGGAGAGGTGTAATGCCATTGTCTTATCCTGGATTCTCAACGCCGTGAGTAGGGAACTTTTGGCTGGCATAGTTTTCGTCTCAAATGCGGCTTCAGTTTGGAGTGACCTGAAGGAACGCTTTGATAAAGTTCACGATTCAAGAATTTTCTTCCTCCATCATGAAATAGCCACCATTTCTCAAGGTGAGTTGAGTGTTTCGACTTACTTCACTAAATTGAAGATACCGTGGGATGAATATGCTACGCTTGTGTCGATTCCATCATGTGAATGTGTAAGCTTGCAGCAGTACTCCAGGCATCTTGCTCAGCAGCAACTTCTTCAATTTCTGATGAGCTTAAATGAGACCTACTCGTCGGTTCGAAGTCAAATTCTACTGATGCAGCCCCTTCCTTCGGTGAATCAGGCGTACTCCGTGGTTGCTCAAGAGGAGTATCAGCGAGTTCAGTTCTCTGTTGCGCCTTCCAGTATTGATTCGTCGGTGTTTTACTCCAAAATCTCTGGGACTCCTGATCGTCATCGGTTTCAAGGTGTTTGTGACTATTGAAAGATTAAAGGTCACAAACGAGATAGTTGTTATCGTCTTATAGGGTTTCCACCCGATTTCAAGTTCTCTAAACGCAAGAACGCCCAGGCTGCAGTAGTTATCTCTGACCTTGTTGCTGCATTCAACCCTACTGGTGCCTCTGCCAAGTCGCATTCATTTGTTCCCTTGGCACCGACCTTTACTCAGGAACAATACAACCAGATCATTAGTCTTCTGTCATCTGCTGCTTCGGTTGATTCCGCTGTGAATCTTGCAGGTATTGTTGATAATTGTTTACCTGCCTCTAGCAAGTCACTGACATGGGTCTTAGATACAAGTGCTACAGATCACATATTATCTGATTTACAATGCTTGCAATCTCCTATCTTGTGTTCCTCCCGGTCAATTTAATTGCCTAATGGTAAAACTGTCCCAATTAAATATGTTGGTTCATGCTTCCTAAATTCTACCACAAAATTGTCTAATGTGTTATATATCCCAAATTTTACTCACAATCTACTCTCCATTTCAAAGCTTACCCGTGACCTGCATTGTTCTGTTATTTTCTATCCTGACTTTTTCCTTCTGCAGGACATCTCAAGTGGAAGGATGAAGGGGATTGGTAAAGAATTTAGGGGGCTTTATTTTTTTCAGTCATCAGCTTCACCTACTGGTTTGTCATCTACACATACTTCCTCAAATGTGCAGTCTTATAGTGTTTCCTCTAGTTTGTCTTGTGATTCAAAATTGGTTGATTGTAGTCCTGTATCTAAATGTATGATTGTTGTTTCTGGTAATAATAAGAGTCTTTGGCACTCTCGTTTGGGACATGCTACTTTTTTAACCATGAATAAACTACCTTTGTTACATTCTGTTAACTTGGATTCCAAATTACTACACTCTTGTCCCATATGTCCTTTAGCCAAACAAACTAGACTCTCATTTCCTGTTAGCCTCACTTCTTCACTAGCTCCTTTTAGTCTCATTCATATAGATTTATGGGGCCCTTATCGAATTGCTACACATAGTGGTCATAGGTACTTTTTAACTACAGTTGACGACTTTATTCGTATGACTTGGGTGCACTTGTTGAGATTGAAGAATGACACTATCATCTCTCTTAAAAAATTCATCACCTTTGTCAAAACTCAATTTTCAGCCGTTGTTCAAATAATTCGTAGTGACAATGAAACTGAATTTTTTAATTCTGAATGTTCTGAATTTTTTAGTTCACTTGGAATTTTTCACCAAAGCTCATGCGTTCAGACCCCCAACAAAACTGGGTTATTGAACGCAAACATAGGCATATTCTCGAAGTTGCAAGGGCACTTCGTTTTCACTCAAAAGTTCCTATTAAGTTTTGGGGAGAGTGTGTTACTACAGCTTGCTATATAATAAATCGGTTACCTTTCTCTATTTTGAATTTCAAAACTCCTTTTGAAGCCCTTCATCATAGAGTTCCTGATCTTTCTCATTTAAGGGTTTTTGGGTGTCTATGTTATGCTACCAGGCTTAACTACTCTGACAAGTTTTCTTCTAAGGCAATTCCTTGTGTTTTCATGGGATATTCTTCAACTTAAAAGGGATACCTTCTGTTTAGTCTTCAATCAAACAGTTTCTTGTGAGTAGAGATGTTGTGTTCCATGAAGTTATCTTTCCCTTTCATTTTCCTATTTCAGAATCTTCTCATTTTTTTCCTTCACATTCTCATATTCCTGATTATGATTTTCTTGTCCTTGATTCTTCAATCCCAACTAATATGTCTCATGTTGATAATTCTTCCCAAGAATTTCATACTATGTCATCTATTCCCTCAATTTCTCCTTCTGATTTCTCAACAGGTGCATCTGGTAGTCCATCTAATTTTTCAACAAGTCCTCATCAAGATAGTATACCTCCTTTAGCACAAGATATTATTGTGTCTAGACGTTCCTCTAGTGTCTCCAAGCTTCCACATTGGTTAAACGATTATGTTTGCACCTGCCAATCCACTTCATCATCTACTGCTTATTCCATTTCTAAGTACATTTCTTACTCTCATTTACCCTTACCTACTCAACATTTTTTAGCCTCTGTTTCTCATTTTCATGAACCCACCACTTATCATGAAGCTTGTTAACACCCGCAATGGCAGCAGACCATGAGAAAAGAGATTCAAGCATTGGAATTAAATAATACTTGGACTGTGGTACCTTTGCCTTCTGGTAAAGTTCTCATTGGCTGCAAGTGGGTTTATAAAATTATGTACCATGCTTCGGGTGAGGTGGAAAGATTCAAGCCTAATTGGTGGCCAAAGGATACAATCAAAAGGAGGGGGTTGACTATGTGGAGACATTTTCTCCTGTTGCTA